AACAGAATCGAAAGATAAATATTTCTCTCCCCATTGACTTCATTAACATAATTTTTCAGAAATAAGGTCCCATGGAGCTCCCCCGGAAAGGGAGGGACTTCGACTCTCTATTGAGAAACTTAAGCTATGCTCTCTTCAAAGCTTTGGAAACAACAGTTACCACTATTCCTTTAAAATGTTTACATTGTGACGGTGCATCTGTCCTCTGTGTGACCTGCAGTCAAGTCACACACTCTTGCTATGTAATTTTGAGGATGAGTTCTTAACTTTTAGCTTTAAGATGTTCCTCCATACCTACGCACGTAAACACAAAACATTCACATGCAGCATACCACACATCACCATGGTGCAAACATCTCTCCGCTCATTTGATAGGAGGTGTGTTGGGTTCAGTATGTTCCTCCAGTGTACTGTCAACCACATGCAAGTATAGTATAGATGAGAGGAGAGGATGGTGGAACATTTATTTGTTCGATTCTATATTTGTAAATCAGTATTTGCTGTAGACATAAATTCCTTGTTACCTGTGTTGACATACATGTGCTTGTACTCCACTTACGGTTTGAGTGCTGTGTATCACATGGCTTTATTTGCTTCTCATTAGCTTGTCTTTGTCTTTTAGAGCCCGACTGTTTGAGTGGATATCCTCCTTCACCAAGGCAGACATTGGAGATGAACATGTCCCCCTTTACTCCAAAAGTGGCCACACCCCCAGCAGCCAGTGAGTAGCACATTCACACTCACACATACACAAACATGGGAGGATATGACGAAGAAAGGGAAACTACTGGGAGGGTGGTCTAAACACTGATTCACTGTTTGCTCCAGGGGCATTGCTGACCCTGACCTCTGACCTAATTTTCGACCTGCTATTAGTGTTCATACTAAAGCTGTATTATGCTACCCATACATCAACAGAATTGGCTTTATATGATACACAGAGGGTAGCATTAGTGTGATAGCCTGCTAAGCTAATGCATGGCTGATGTGGAAGAGAATGTGGTCGCTAGCAGTTTGTCATGTCTTCTGTCTGAGCTGCTTCTGAGTTGACTCAACCACAGCCAGCACACACACACACAAACACACACACACACACACACACACACACACACACACACACACACACACAAGATCCAACCTCAGCTAGCACATATGATCAGGAAGAGTCAGAAGGGAGAGGGAGAGAGAGATGTTTCCATCTGCGAGACAAATGGTTTTTGTTAGACAACCTTCTGATGTTGATTTGGGAGAATCCCCATCCCAGTCCCCCCACACACACGTGCACACAATACACAGTGATGTAAATATATGTGGAGACAGCCGTCGTCGGCGATGGTCCAGGTCTGAACCACATCTGCTACTGGACCTGCCCCACACACACACACACACACACACACACACACACACACACACACACACACACACACACACACACACACACACACACACACACACACACACACACACACACACACACGCACGAGCACAGTTATTCTACACTGGGCCCAAACCAAACTTGGCTCAGTCTTCCACTGCCACACACAAATACACAACCGCTCATAAATATGCACAGATGTACGCACAGAAACACACGTGCACGCACACGTAAGCTCACCACAAAAGAACAACCAGCACATGACGGCACCCGCCGCCAATCAGTCATGGCTGGTTGGTCCTGTGCCGAGTCTGTGTCAACTCCTGAAACATTAGAACACACACCAACACTAGCACACGCACATCACATACGGCAAGGACAGAAAGACAGGTCATGGACTTGAAAATGTGCCTCTGAGGTTGCTGGACCAATTCCCTTAGCTGCCTGGCTTCTGTAACTGACCCCACTCTGCTCTATCCTCCTCTCTCTGCACTTGGCTTACTGAACTCTTCAAACTAATGACTGCTAACCAGACTCAGATGGCTGTAGTGATGCTTCTGCAGTTCGTTTTCTACGTCTGTTTTAGTGTGCCAGAATGCGATATATTAAACCTTTTGCTTCTTATCTGAGGAAGGAGATGTTTTATTTGCTGTTTATTTTATGAACATAACAATAGATGAATATTGTGACATGTGTTTTACTACCTACCTCTTCTTGTGTGCAGTCATGAGGAGCATGCCGGCTCCCATCCTCTCTACGGCCATGGAGAGTGTAAATGGCCTGGCTGTGAAGCACTGTGTGAGGACATGGGACAGTTTATCAAGTAAGTTAACAACCACCCAAAAATATGAAATATTGTGCAAAGGATGGGGTTGCAGATACACTAAAAAAAATACATTTACTATAGTACCTTGAGGTTCTGCATAAAGTAAATTCAAAACAGCACACCTGTTATAGTGAATGGCTTTTGGATGTGTTTAGCATGGAGAAAACCACATTTCTAGACAGGCTCAATTATTTATTAACAAAACTGCCAATCTGCCAAGAATTTAGACCTAAATCAGATTTAGGACCACATGAAACGTCCTTAAATTGTATCACTCATTCGTAAAAACGCCAGGGATTTTTTTTTTTGTTGAAAGCTCAACAATGCTAGCACCATTCTTTGATTCAGATAACCAGTACTAGTAAAACATGAAGCAGAGCTAAAAGAAAAAAGCTACAATTTGTGCTTAATGAGTGTCAGTCATGATCATCAGCCATGTTTCCGATTGGCTCACTAATTCATCAGTTGCAATCAGTTGCATCACATTTGCTCTGAGGCACATTCATGCATACATACACAGGTACACACTCTGACACAACATCTGTCTAGGATTTATTCATCATCCTCCTACAACACTATTCCTCTTCCCTTTTGTTCCTTTGTTAACATTTGTCACCAAGTATTTCCCTCATTTAGTTGTTGTTTGTGATATTGTCTTTGTATGTTTTGTAAGCTTTTTCTTTGAAAGGTCAAACAAATTGTTTCACTGCTTAATAGAGAAATTACTCTTAATTAGCTCATCCACACGCACATCTTTTTGTTACCACAACAAAAGTAAATACATCAAACACACTTCCCTTTCACTTATTCCCTCTGCCACCTTCATGTTAGTTTGGAGTCACTGGGGGATGTTGATGCAGTCTCTGGCCTTGACATTCTGCTGCCTCCTCCTCTGTCACACACTGTACAGCGGACTTCCCCGTGGCACTACTGCTGCTAACGAAGGCTTCACAAAGCCTTTAATGAAGCCCTAAACAAATTCACACTCTCATTATCGGTGTGGAACTCTTAACTATTTGAGCAACGGAGATATTAATAAGCAGGGGTGATGAAATACGTACTCATACACACACATTATCACAGAAGCGTGCGTGGTGATTGTGATGGCATCGGACAGTCAGATCAAAGCGAGCAGGCAGGCTGGGAAAGTTTGAAGAGGAAAGCTGTTGTTTGGTGTCTTATTTCACATAGCCCCGGGGCAGATGGAGGGAGAAAGAGTGTGTGTGTGTGTGTGTGTGTGTGTGTGTGTGTGTGTGTGTGTGTGTGTGTGTGTGTGTGTGTGAGTGTATGCCTGTGTTTGAGAAAGAGAGAGAGAGTGTGTGTGTGTGTGTGTGTGTGTGTGTGTGTGTGTGTGTGTGTGTGTGTGTGTGTGTGTGTGTGTGTGTGTGTGTGTGTGTGTGTGTGTGTGTGTGTGTGTGTGTGTGTGTGTGTGTGTGTGTGTGTGTGTGTGTAAGAGAAAGAGGGAGATGAAGAAAAAAAAAGAGGCAGTGACAGATAATGCCGTCAGTCCGACAGTGCGCTCCCTTCCAGCCAGCCTTAGTCATCGCCCCAGGAGGGGAAAAGGGTAGAGCAGAAGAACAGAGGCGGGAGATACTCCACTATTTCAGGCCTTTCTTCTCTTCTCTGGTCCCACCGCCCCTCCCTCCCTGTCCTCTGGTATAATACTCTGGCTGTGGTCGGTAGAGCTGGGTGTAATGTGGGTTAAAGCCTTGTCTGCCAGCACTCAGAGGAGTAAACAGAGCCTCATTGTCGGGACACATCGAAAAAAAAACTGCTACTGTTTATGGCCCGGCTATAGAGAGAGGGGAGGGTTTTAGGGGCAGATTTTGGTTGGAATGAGTGTGAATCATAGGCATTTAGGGAGTTGCGGGGGAAGACGAGTGGGAAGGGGAGAGTGGACAGAAGTACAAGGCATTGGGAGAGAGAGCTTAGCACAGAGTGAAATAGAGAGTCAGGGGTGAGATCATGTTTTTGTTATTATTATCGTGCACTTGTTGAGCCGTCTATCTGACTGGATTAGCCATGCCATGACATCATTGTTTTTGTTTCATTTCTAGTCTTCGTCTGATATTGCCTAACTTTTTTTGCTTTCTTAAAGACACACACACACACACACTCAGTAGTCACACACTCTACGCACACATTTCTTCTTGTACATTTCACAATAAACAAGTCAGGAAAGTGGCTTTGTGAAGATTACTCGGATTGTAACTTAACACCACAGGATATAGTGAAACTCACTCTGATACACACACACACACAAAACTACACACACACCGTGCATGCAGCAGCAACCTGTGAATAACCTTGGCGATGACAGAGCAGAGAGAAAGGGATGGAGGAAAAGAGACAGGGAGGGGTGGGCTGGGAAAGATCAGAAGGTCCCGGGTCCTCCCACATTGGAGGAAACAAACAGCGCCACCATTCACACATACACACACGTCCATGCACACGCACACACATGCGCAGCAGTGTTAATATGTGGAGTGGAGTTTAGCTAACAGAGAATCTTAAGATAAGGCTTTGTGCGATAACACATGAGCTCATATCCAGGTGGTTGTCTTGGATCATGGCTCGGTGAGCACCAATGAAGTATACACACACAAAACACAGCTGCTGCGTACTTCACTAGACAAAATAAACCTCCAAGATTATGATTTATTTTTACAGCTCTGAAACAGCTCATAACGCAGTTTAAATAAAAGTGCAAGAGTGGGGTTGTGTTACTTCATTATCCGGGACATGGTCATTGATTTAGCAAGGATGCTGTTCATTTAATCAAACTTTGGAACTTTGAGTGATGTTTTCGTGGATATCAATTTACCCTCTTGCATTCCCCCTCACCTCCAGGCACTTGAACAATGAGCACGCCCTCGATGACCGCAGCACTGCTCAGTGCCGAGTCCAGATGCAGGTGGTCCAGCAACTGGAAATACAGGTGAGTCACATACAGACAACCACATTTCATCCACTTACAAACTAAGTCTCGAAGACTTTTCCAGCCAGTCAATGGCAGCAACTTGTCTGAAGCAGGGCAGAGTTTATGGAGAGCAGTGGAGCTTGTAATTTAAAAGGAGCAGTCGGCAGAGAAGCTGCCATCGCTGCTCCAATTATAAAGCTGCTCTGGTCACCAGAAAGATAGAGCGAGGCGGAGAGGAGGAGGGAGAGAGAAAAGAGAGAGAGAGAGATGAGCCAGAAAGCGGAGGACGGCACGGCCTCTCTTCTTCTCAAAGTGGTTCATGCACGCATACTCTTGAAACATCTGAATGCTCCGGGAAAAGCAAAACACCAACACTGGACAAGAAGTGAAATTCTGTTCTCACACAGTACATAAGAAAAGTGAAAACACAATGGCCGCCTCTTCACACACACACACATCTTGACATAGTTTCTAAAGCACTTCAGAATACCCTGTTCACATCACTGCGTAATATGTGTGTGCGCTGTCCAGCATTAGGGTGAGCATTGTGTTTGGTGGTGGTGGTAAACAGCGTTTAGCTGAGCGCCTGAAGCCACCACCAGGGAACACAAAGTGACAGAGAGGCAGCTGGTGTCACATCACATCAGGACGTCCGTCTCTCTCTCTCTGACAAGTCACTTCATCCCTCAGAGGCCCACCACTCTACCCTCCAACAGCACACACACAGCAGCCCAGGCACTGTTTTTAAATGTTTCATAGTTACACATCTCTGCAGTGTGTGAGTATGTTAATGGTGCTATCTGTCTTAGTGTAGATCCGTTGTTTCTGGAGTCTACATGTGTGTACACTTGTGCTCTCGCACAAACACAGACACAGGATGCCGCGTTTCCACAGGCTGTAGCAACACCCATTAAAAGGCAGTTAACAATGTCAAACAGGGACGAGTGTGTCTGCAGGCTAGTGTAAGTGTGGGAGAGAGCTCCGGGTGTCGAGGCGGATGACTTTCATAATCGTCTCTCTGCCTGAGGTGTAATTGCAATTGTAATTCTGTGTCAATACCACGAGATATCAATCTAAGCATTATGGAGTGAGATAAAGTGTTTTTCATGGCGTTAACCACCCTTGTTTGTTTTACAGCTGTCAAAAGAGAGTGAGCGACTTCAGGCCATGATGACCCACCTGCACATGCGCCCCTCAGAGCCAAAGCCTTTTAACCAACCTGTGAGTACACACTTCTTACCCAAACCCAAAATAACATGACTTCATATTCTACCCTCGTACCCCAAATCTTTACCTCCTATTCACCTACAACTCCTTTTAATCAAACAGTTTCTTAATCCCTAAACCTTCTCTGGATATCTTGCTGTCTAGCTTGGTATCTACGCCCCCTATTGACCAGTGAGGGTTAATATGTTATTTTAAAATCCTAGGGACAACTCTGTCTTTTCCTTTTTCATTGTACTCTGTCTTTTTGTTTCATTGTGTCTCCCTCTTCATCTCTATCTCAAAAACTGTCATGATAATGTACATTGAATTCCGCAAAAATATTCAAACTGTCTCCAAGTCAAACTTCAGTTCTGCATTTGATTCAATATTTGAGATTTTAAATTTGCTAGCTTGTAAGAGAGAGAGAACAGCCAAAGCAGTCTCTCACAGTATTTTCAATGTGTGTCCACAGAAGGGATAGAAATGTGATGTGATGGGAGTGCATGTGTCTGTGTGTGTGTCCACACTGGTTGGCGAGGTTGTTATTAGATATCTAATGAATATTTCATTATTCAGATTGACGAGGAGTCTTATTAAAATATGAAGATGTTGAAATTAATTGTCAATTAGAGGTAGAGTGTCTTAATTTGAGGGGATGTAAATGGGTGCAGCCGAGTGGCAATATGCGTGTGTGTCTGAGTGTGTGTGTTGTGTGTGTGAATGATGCGTTGATCGCTGGGGGATCAGCTGCTATTAACATCTAATGGGAAATCAGGAAGAGGCGTGTTCTGTCACCACCGGAGACGAGCCTCGGGGTCAGGGATTGGAGGAGGAGGGGCAGGGGAGGAGCGTCAGGAATGGAAACAAAGCTTGGCCTCAATTAACAGGGTTCGACTGTTGCCGTGGTGATGTGGCAGGGTTGCAGCGTTAATGAAGTACCTGTTAAACAGCCCCGCCCCCTCCAGTCTACTTAAATGGTACAGAGAGGGGGCAGAGTAAAGAGAGGGCGATTCACACATTTTACATATGGACAACACACACACACTCACACAATCACAAACAGGGGTTTTAATTAGTCCTAAACTAGGAGCCCTGCAACGCCTGTCCCAGAGAGACTGGGAGTACTGGTTCTGTGTGTGCGCAAGGCTCTGCCTAATTGGGCCGTATTGGTCCGTGAAGACTTTGCCACCGCAGAGTGCATGTGTGTGTTCCCTTCTTACAAACACGCTGTCGTGTGGTTTTGTATTTGTAAACGCAGGGTTAATTGCAACCAGTGCTGTGTGTATAAATAAAGTACATGTGCATGGTGTGTGTGGCTATTCGCAAGAATGCATTTGGTAAAGTAGGGACACAAACAAGAGGAGTGCTTGAACCTTACATTTTGTATAGGTTATTTAACTTAACTTCCTGGATATAGCAACTTATACTGCTATAGGTTAAATAATTAAATTACAGCTTCAGTTGTATTAATATTCTTACATACTTAGGAAGCAAGACCGTTAAGAAGCACAATTTGTTTTGTATGTACATGATACACAAGCTCTGTCTAATACATTGATATCACCTGACTCTGTCCTGTGTAGATGGCGCTTCTCTGTAAACAGCAGCCCAGCAGATTGTGGAACCTTAACGTAAATATAAGAAAAGCATCAATCAGATATAAAATCCATTGCATTCACTAAAACATTGAGGTTAGGATGAGGCTAGGAAATAATACATTTTTGTGTGTGTTGTGTTTTAAAGAAGAGCAGAATTTACAATTTTTTAGTGGATTTGATTGGTAGATAACAATGGGACCTGAACCCTAATGTCAGCGTTTCTGTGTCTCTCTCTAGCTGAACCTGGCTTCCGGTGGCTCTCTGTTAAAGCGGGACAGCGATATGTACCCAGAGGGTCTTGGTCACCCCCCCACCTCAGCTGCCGCCCCAATCACCCCAATGCGCCAGGGCCCCTCAGTCATCAGCTCCTCCAGCCTGCACTCACACTCCCACTCCCACTCGCACGGGGTCGGGCCCATACGCAGGCGCAACTCCGACAAGTACTGCACCCCCATCGCCTCAGGTAACATACACTCACTCAGTACCTGCCTTTTTAGTATTAGGCAGATCAAATGATTTTGTCTCACAATGGACTTAGATTTAGTCTGTTTTTTGACACACTGCTTTAGTTACTTTTTTTCTTCAAAAAGTTCCCTGGAAGAGCAACTTCATATGTTTTACTTTAATTTATCGCTCAAAGAATTATATAATTGATGCCATCTATTTGTTTTTTTTTTGTTATTTTTTTATATTTGTTTAAGAACAAAGTCAAGTTTGCAAAGCTTTGAATAACATAATAAGAATAAATGAATGATTGGCTTCTAAAGAATATGTAATATTATGTATCTTTACAAAGCTGTGCTCACCACAGTTCTCACCCATAACAATCTGCTTGATCCTTGAATAAATAATAATATCAAACATTAAGATATTCTTTATTTTAGATACAGTTTTACTTTTTTCATACCTTTTTATTCTATGGACTTATTGATATAAAATCCCACTGAGAATCTGCTTATTGCTTATTGTTTTACATGTATTGCATTACAAACACCAGCTGAATTATAATGATCATACTTCTTTTTTTTCAGAGCTGGCTCAGAACTGTGAGTTCTACAAGAACGCTGATGTCAGGCCTCCTTTTACTTACGCCTCTCTTATACGCCATGTAAGTCCCTCCAATGATCCATTTTCACTATCTCCTCTTGCCATCAGTATTTCCCCCTCTCTAAATCTGGTTGTGTCTCCTCTCTCCGTCCTCAGGCCATACTGGAGTCCCCAGACAGACAGTTGACTCTCAATGAGATCTACAACTGGTTTACACGGAAGTTTGCCTATTTCAGGAGAAACACAGCCACATGGAAGGTAAAAGCTCATGCTATACACACTCTCACTTGTGCTTTGTCTTTCTCAGAACTAACTAAATGTCAAAACTAAATGTTAACTCAACAAATAGAAACCAGACCATTTAGCAAATGGGGTTTGGAGTTGTTTAAATGATGTAGAAAAAGAACAGCGCCATATTTAGAAAATGAAAGTTTGACCGCGGCTCTGAATGGTTGGAAGCTGATTCAATCAAAGAGCAATATTTTGACTCAAACTATAATGTGGTATACAACTCTGGCTGGATGAAAGCTGCTCTAATTGACTGCAGAGCAACTGTGGTCTGGGCCTACTGATGAAGCCCCTAACCCAAGCAGATGCCAGCTGAGACCACAATGAGAGAAACAAAAACTGAAGGCAGATCTTGCAGTGTTAGAAACATTTGGATTGGCCAATATGACTTCACTTTGCAGAAAATGTATTTTTTAGGGTTAAATGTAGCCCTTACACTCAGGATGATAGAATGACTGACACACAAACACACACACACACACACACACACACACACACACACACACACACACACACACACACACACACACACACACACACTGGATCTCTCTAATACATATGTAAAGACACACACACACACACACACACACACACACACACACACACACACACACACACACACAGGTAAAACAGCACAAAGGTTTTTAAAGCTGACTTTGCTCAGCTCCTAAAGATTTGACTGATTTGACAGTTATTGGCTCTTTCATTCCTTTATGAGACACTTTCCTACTGCTGCACTCATTATCTCTCCTTTCCCTCACTCACCCTTTTCCTCTTTCTCCGTCTCCCTCCATCTCGGCCCTAAACAATTCTCTCACCTCCAACACGGCACATGGAGTCGGCCCCACTTAGCCCGGTGGAGCCACAATCTAGCTGTTATACAGCCTCATTACAGGGATGCACATAAAAAGCTGACACACACACACACACACACACACACACACACACACACACACACACACACACACACACACACACACACACACACACACACACACACACACACACACACACACAGACTGCTCATGATCACACACATTGAATTCTCCCTCTCACTCTCCTCATCCCCCTCACACACCTGGCCTGATCCCACCATTGTAGGTGCTGACCCATTTCTACCCAAAGCTCACACTAATTTGAGTGTCAGTTCCTCCAGAGAGGTAAAGCGAGAGAATGAGCAAAGGAGTGAGAGAGGCAGTGAGAGGAGGGTGAGGAGAGACCCCATCCTCCTTTTAATGGCCCTAAACTAAGGAGGGAGGGATGAGATGATGATGATGGAGGGAGGGGTGCGGAGAGGGTTAAGAGATAGGGCAGCCAGGAATATCTTTACCTCCTCATCTGACTTTTATGAATTTTAACTATTAATGTCTGGTGTCTGCTTCCTGTGCCGTTGGCCTCGCAGACCTTTAAATATAGCTCGGCATGGCCTTATGTATTTATATAGCAGCTCAGCGAGTCAAATAGGGCCGTAGAGATGTATGTCCTTTAATAAGCCGTTATATTTCATGAGGAGAGCAGTGGTGTCAGGGAGCGGAAGTCATTGATCATAGGAACGAAACGGACAGAAAATGAGGACGAGACAAGAGAGAGAAAGAGAGAAAAAGAAAGGGTGAATGAGAGAGGAGGAGAGATGAATGTTGAGTTCTATTTCAAGGTGATGCATGATGGGTAGGATTCCTTGAAGAAGAGGTTTTATTTTCTATTTAACTTACCAGAAAAAAAAAGCTGTTTCTAGTCGAATCGCATTATTATCGAGTATTGTACTGAAGAAACAATGTGCTACATTATATTTTTACTACACACTAAATGGTTTAACTTTTATTACATTACAGTTATTTTTACCATTTAAATTAATACATACGTACTTCACAGGTTATTGAAAAGAAATGATGTTATATGCTGATCACACATTCATCAGTAATAATTATCATGTAAGTCAACTTTATTGTCAATAACAAAATATCTTTGTACACACAGAAAGATCGAAATACTGTTTCCCACAGTACTGAGGTATAACAAACTCACACATTAAAAACTGAATAATTTACAAAAAAAACACAAAATAACCGTTTACTTCAAGTAAGCAGGATATATATACGAAGATGATGGACATAGTTCAAATGGGAGTGCAAAATTCTCCATAGCAGCGTAAAAGTGACTGGTGCTGGATTTTTTTTTTTGTCGTGTCTGTTTTATGATGAAAATTATGTCCTTTTGCTCTTATTGNNNNATATGATAGTAACGCTCACAGGGGGGCTATCTATGCATTTTGAGATGCTGAGAACATTTGTCTTATAATATATACATATAATTCATAGTATTTCCAGTGTCCACCGTTTAACACTAACGTAGTCTCAAAGTCATCACATATAAGTTGCTTATTTATTAATATTGTGTTTATCATTGTGCCTGCTCACTTAAATTCCTATTTAGGATCATAGGGAAGTAAAGTGTCACAGTGAGGCCTCAGCAGAAACACAACCAGACTGATCAAATATTCAAACATTTTGAATTTGAAGAAACCTGATATAAATGTAGTCTAATTTTTCCATTTCTTTTTTTGTTCTACACAATCGTCTTCCTTCCTAAAATTTGGCCTCCAACTCCCCCCCCCCCCCC